TACTTTGATGAGCCCAATCCCCAGAGCTTTCACTTACGGTCTTCTCACTCCCTCTTTGGTTAAAACCTGCCCAGTGTTAGCAGTCCAAGTATTCAGTTTAAACGGAAATTGAAACATTAATCAGTTAAGAGTACATACAAAATTAGAAAACTATGTTCGCCTGTGATGTTAAATTCATAATGTACAGTTAACTACCAAATCTGCCATTCAAGCTACTATCTGCTTTTACAAAACAAGGGAAATGCTGAGATGTTTTTTATGTGAGGAGGGAGGCTTTGCAGTAAGCCTTAATATATAAACAAGATAACTATTATTATTACGGAGTAGCAGTTGTTTTTGTTCATGCCTGTGTACATTAGTACACATTATCGCCTCATCAAAATACTTCAGCGACATTACAGAAAATTGTTGTTGTATCAAAAGAAACAATAATTCTGTTGAACTGGGTTTGGCTGAAGTTCAATTTATCTACACTTAATAATAAACGAGAGAGACATTGAGAGCAAATACTATTCCAGGTACATTCGCACAGATGTTACGTCACTATTCAATGTTTGTAATGAGTCATTTCAGAATTATATTCTGATCAATATGAATAATATAAATTATATAAGTTTCCCATGGCGTAAACCGTTCCTTTATTTCAAACACTGATCTGTACAGTTGTTAACGTACTACAGTATATTTCTTTGCATACATAGGCTACTTGGAAAAAAAAACCGACCAAAGGGCCAAAAATGGCTGGAAAGCGTCCCTTAGTGACTCGAGACTACTGCCTAGTGGTGTTTGGCACTGTGAATTCCACTGAGTAACTAAGGATGTACGATGTGTCCTGGTTCCTTTTAATAGCATTAGGAGTTCAAACCGTAAAGGCTATAATCTAGGGAGAGAAGAGACTCCCACTCTTTGCTTTGATCTCCTTCCTCTTGGCTGTTTAAAGTTGACAGTCTGGTTGAATGGCATTCAGTGCTTTCATTTGTATAACATGAGTTTCCTAGTGTTGCAGAGCTCGCAGCTACACCTGTACTGCAGGAATTTACATTGCATTGCTCTAGGATGGCATTGATTTGGGGAGGATGAAATCCAAACACAAACTAATTAAAAACTGCATAATGTGTCCCTTCCAGGAACAAAAGCACACAAAAAAAACAAAACAAATATATACAACTGCAGCTGGCGCAGCAATTGTGTCACTGGCCTCAAGCTAAATTCTGCTGACATACAATTATAAACCCTTTAAAAAATCTCAGATAAATATTGTTAATTGTATTAGTCTCAAAATGGAATTTCTACTGTTACTGCTACGGACAGGAAGGATTGTTTTGGCTGCCTGTCACACCTATTGTTTCCAATTACTGTAGAAAAATACACATCGAAAATAATCGTCCTTGTTCCGTTAATGCTACTGTATATTCAGTAGTTCAAAAATACACTTTGGTAGCAAAACTTTACATGTAAGGATTTCGCAAATTATCTTACTTTTCTAGATTTTAATGTATTCGGGGAAAAAAACAAACAAACAAACCATAACCTGTTACTATAATATTTTTTTTCAGTGCTAAAGTTAAAGAATATAATGGGAACGCAACCTACCCATTGAAAAGTATCATTACAATTTACACAGATGTGTTCGTTTTGGAGGCTTGCGTGAGAGTATCGTTACAAAATACTCCGGACGCTCATTGTTCTGTATTTGGTTTGTTATTGTTAGAAATTACGATTAACAAAAAAAAATAATCACAAAGATAACCGGGGGGCAAACTTTATATATATAATTTGCTTTTCTAAACCCAGATTCTACTGTTTCAGTGCGGCTGTGGGAAAGGTGTGAAGTACTAACGACTGTCTGACAAGGATCATAAATCAGTGAACTCCAGAGCGAAGAACTGGTGATTGCCCATATGAGGCACGTGGCATTTTTTGGCCACAGTCATAGACCACCATTATCACCTTAACCAACAGTACTTTGGAGAGTTCATCGATTCTAAAATGCTAACATCATACTTAGCCATTCGATTTATCATCATTATCTTTTATATGCAGTGTACAGACAGCGTACACATATATACCATTTTAAAGTTTGCATTCTAAACTTCACATACGGAGAGGATGTGCTACAGTCAGAGTAATGCCACCTATTCGTACAGTAGCTAGACCTTTTCTCTGTTTAATTACAGGAGAAAATATAAGGTAGTGTAAACGATTTGTATTACAATACTGTGTGTTTATTATAATATAGTGTGAATTCCTATATTATATTGTAGTTTTGTGATTTACGTCTTTCCTTTCGTTTCATTAAACTAACTTTAAAGGCGAGTTTGCAATACAAAAATTCAGGAAGACCCATCTAGTTGTTACATCTTAAGTTTGAAACGATTGTATTTTTTAAATTATGGTTCGTGTTAATATAGTCCTTCAACTTAAACATGTACTGTACATATGATCTATTTTGAAATATTGTTAAACTGTATTAACGTTTCATTTAAGGACCACACACACACTTTTGCTCAGTCGGTTTCAGGCAGCTCATCGAAGCAAATAATTTTTCTACTCATTATTTTCCCCCCGTAATTTTACCCTGTTTTCCTCAGAACCGTTGTTTAGTTTTAAGGTGTCTTCTTTCATCATCTCTGTCATATCCATTTGGAGATATTTTCATTCTTTTATCACTGCCATCACCAGCCCTGCACATTTCCAGCAGGTTATCACAATTGCCATTCCTCCTTCTTTCTGATGTGTTCTGCTGATTACCATCAGTGCCCTCAGATATTTTGAACAGATCCTGGCGTTGCAATATCCACTCTCAACCATCTGGAGCAGATCAAAATCACTGACTTCATCTTAGCAGTTAAGTATTAAATCTACAATATTCTTTCAACAACCACGACTTCCAGTCTGCTCTTTGGGAACCCAAACTGATCTAAACCCTGAAGAACAGCGACACCATATCAGTTATTCCACACACCACACACACACTATTTCATTAAAAGTTGCATGGACTGTTTTTAGAATAAAATATGTTGGGATTGACTTACTGATTTAGTCTGGCATATATTACATACGTAGTCATTGCATTATAAATATTGCATTCTGGCATCTATGCAGTATCATTTTGTGTAGTATGGTTTAATTTAACAATAGTATAGCGACATGGACGACAAGAATAATGTTTTAAAAAATTACGCAACGTGGTAAAAGTGAATTTGTTCGCCCCACATTCTGCCTTCGATACATGTTGCAACATTTATAAAACTGCCCATGCTGCCTGTAAAATAGGAAGTACCAGGACGACTGCCGCTTAGTCTCTAGATTGTTAACGAAAACAGCACGGGATCATTATTCATTAAAAACATGACCAAGATAAAGGGGGGTTACGAGGGGTCTGTTTTCTCACATGTGAACAGAATGAGTTTTGTGAGCAGAAAAATAAAAATAAAAATCCACAGACGCGCAAAGCCCAAGCATAGTTCTCAAATGACCTCATTTTGAAAGCTGGTAGAAAAAAAGGCTAACGTTGTTTTAAAACTTTTTAAGCAATAGTACGCTTTGGACAGGTATGCCTACAACGAAAAAAAAAGTAATGCTACGCTTAGTTTGCTTTGTCTTCGAGAAATTGCTTAACCACAGAGATCTTAAATCAAAACGTTGAGCTGTTAGACCACAGGTTGTTCGTGATATGCATCCTCAGTTTGGTTTTCTTTTGGTTTTGGTTTTCAACTGAATTATTAGTATGTGTTCTTGAATGCGTCAGTGTTTCCGATAATCGTCTATTTTTACAAATTTAAATTAAAAAAATTATTTCACGTATTATTAATTCGTGCATGTTTTAATATTTAACAAAAAATAATAAAAAATCACGCTAGGTGTTGTGTGTATAGACCGATCAAAACACTGTCTTGACCTGCTTCTTTATCCCACTTCCAAGAAGAAACACACCGTTTCCAGATGCATTCAAAGCTAATACACGCTGCGAGTAAATCCAGTTTTCTGGATATTTAAGTTTTATTCAGCTACAATCTAAAAAAAAACTTAGCTCAAGTTACACACCGATACTTAAAACTGCAGTTTCTATCTTACCCTTTTTCTTACATTTAAAGTTACGGCAAGTCACATTCGTATTTACTGAGGTTTCTCACGCTCACACACCAACAAAAAAGTAATTCCAAACAACGTGGACATGGAAATGTAGTTTGATCCCTCCGTCGCACCCCCCTCCCCTTAATAAAAAAAAAGTGAATATTAAAAAATGCAAAACGTTTGCATACTAAAACGTAAATACTAGGCCCTCAGAACAAGTGAATTTTAAAAGCATTTACACTCTTCCTTATGTCACACACGCAGATACTTAAGACTACTTATAGAGTTCAATTTGCAGAGTAAAAAGAAAATGAGATATTGTTTTACAACTAGGCTGATCGTTTGTTTAAAAAGCCCTTAGTTTTACCATTGCGAAAGTATACCCCATTACGTACAAATACAAAAGCAGCAGCAATAATAATAATAAAAAAGAATAATAGTGAAGGTGCTGCTGATGATAACGACGTACAGTACCTGAATAACACAGGTCTAGGCCTGCACAATGTCTAGTAATTACCGTATTTCTAAAGACATTTCCGCAGAATGGGGTCATTTTAATTTTAAAGATCCATGCTAACAACATTTTCTTTTAAAACACAAATTGTTAAAATGAGTGAGACAACTTCACAGATATTTTCTTTTTGTCCTTCTATTTCTTAAAACAGGAATAATTAAAAGGAGGCGCAGCACGGCTATCAAGTTTATTGCTCCAATGTTGGACAGCTGTAAAATCGTGTAGACAGGTTGTCATACAACAGTGAGGGCTTCGGTGAATAGAATCTAATGCTAAACATTTAACATACAATACACCAAACACACAAAAAGTGGCCCCAGCCAATGCTTTAACCACATGCTCCAAACTAGGAGGGGCTTGCAGCTCAAGTGGGATGCCAATCAAGGCATCAACTTCAAATTGTATCTGAGAGATCAGCCCAAGACCTAGGGGCAGACACATCAGTTGGAGCTCAATTGTTGATCTGATCACATCCAGGGGACTTGCGGCAAAAGAAAGGCTGAGATTTGAGAAGAACATCATCTGTTTTTCCTTCTCGTTTTTGTGCTTGTACTCTTTCAGCTTGACTTTGTGAGATTTCTGTTGTTTTCTACGGTGACTTTGCTTAAAGATCCGGTATAGGAGATGTCTTTTCCCCAACTGGGTTACCCTCAGTATTTAAGTGCCACCCAAGCGGTGTATGGAGGCGATCGGCCGGGAGTTCTGGCTGCCTCTGCCCGAGGAGGAAGCACCGATATCGGTGCAAATCCGACAGCCACAGCAGCAGCAGTCACATCGGTGTTGGGCATGTACGCAAACCCTTACGCAGCCCATAACTACAGCGCTTTCCTGCCTTACACCAGTGCCGACTTGGCTCTCTTCTCTCAGATGGTAAGTTGCTGTTTGAATTCTAATATTTGAAATATTAGTATATAAAATAAAGAACTGTGTAGCCTGGCAAAATTCTACACAATAATTTACTTTAAAGATAGTGTTTAAAACTGCGGTCCAGAACTGCAAAACTGGAAGGGAATGTGAGGAACTAACGAGTGAAAAGGAAGAATGAATTCGGGGATAGAAAGCATAGAATAGAGCTGAAATGGGATTTACGTGAGAAGTTTACTTCAAACCGTTGGTTTATATATATAATTTTCCAGTCTATTCTAACAAAATTATTAATGGAATGTAACTATTTCACACATTTTATTAAAAGTACCGGTAAAAAAGTTTCATTTCTGAAGTACAAGGAATCCGTGTTTGTGTGTGAATTAGTCATTATTTAAGAGCTCTTGTGGAAACGTAAAACTATACATTGAAAACCATAATAAAAGTTTGAAAAGACGGTCGAAGGTTTCATGTTATATATGAAATAAAGTCCAAGTAAAAATATATGTTTGAAAATAAATTATATCACGAAAATTTGACATACGAATGTAAATTTCCATTTTAAAAATAATTTGAAATAATGGTCATTTCTGGCCTATAGATGTATGTCGGGGATTGAGCACGCAAAATAAACTGAGATTAATTATATTTAAAATGGTTGTATACACACACTGTCTCCTTTCTAAAGAAATCAGAGCTTTCCATTAAAGACACCACAAAAGTGTAGACTGAATGCATGAAAAGCATTTTTTTTTATTGTTTTCAGAAGATGTTCTGGGTAATTTATTATCATTGTCATTTAACATTATTTTAATCAACACGTCTCAAGTTTAGGAATGGTTAATGTGTTGACATTTTATTAGTGGCAATATTATTGAAACAATCATTTTGGTTGTGCTCTTATGGAAAGCTGTAACAAAATTGTTTTCTAATCTGTTCATTGGAATCTCCTTGTTTCAACCCTTAATGTTCCATAAAAATCCTTTCGATTTATTTTAGCACAATCGCTTTTTATTTTGTTCTTTTCTTTTCGATCTGAAAAAAAATGACTATTCATACATAAAGTTTTTTTGGCGAATGTTATGATGAACGTTTTGTTAAAATAAAAAAACGGAAGTGAATGAAAAATAATGTGTTTCAAAAACCTGAAAATGTTAATGATGAGGCCTAATTAGGTGGTTAAAAAGATAAATGTTATTTGGTGGGGGGACCTAATTGGTTACATTCAATTTAATGTGCTTTATAACAGACGGCTAAAATATTGATTGCGTCTTAGAAAAACAGTGGAAACTTTCTGTTTAAAAAATCATCACAATTCTGGATTTTTTTTCTAAAACATGAATGTTATGTAGTATAGATTTATACGGGAGGCAAGAGTCATACAAGTTAATGAGTTATCCTCTAGGATAAAATAACATTTTTTCGCTAATTATTTTAACTTTAGCAGTATACTGATATTACAAGCTTTTAACTTTCAATAATTCAAACGTTTTAAAAATATTAAACAAAAACTACACCCTACTTTGCACACATTTGAATTTCTTTTACCTGTTTCCGCGGTATAATAGATACCGACATGAATTTACATAAGAAACAAAGTTTTTTTTTTTTTAATGACAGCCGGCATAGGTGAAATTTACAATTACTCTGATGGCACCCGAAGTTAAAATATATATTTATTATGAACTTATAATGAAGGGTTTTAAATATTGATTTTCCAATCTATGTACTTCTTTGATTATAAGTGAAGGCTAACTAAAATAATTTGTTTTTCTTCTTGCTATAGGGTTCACAATATGAACTGAAAGATAATCCAGGTGTTCACCCAGCCAGTTTTGCTGCACACACTTCTCCAGCTTTTTACCCTTATGGACAGTTCCAGTATGGAGACCCTGCCAGACCAAAAAATGCCACCAGGGAGAGCACAAGCACTCTCAAGGCCTGGCTTAATGAACACAGGAAAAATCCTTACCCAACCAAAGGAGAGAAGATCATGTTGGCCATTATAACAAAGATGACCTTGACCCAAGTCTCAACCTGGTTTGCTAATGCCAGGAGGAGGCTCAAGAAGGAGAACAAGGTCACCTGGGGTACAAGGAGCAAAGATGATGAAGATGGCAACATATTTGGCAGTGATAATGAAGGTGACGCTGAGAAGAATGAAGATGATGAAGAGATTGACTTGGAGAGCATAGATATTGACAAGATTGATGAGAATGATGGGGATCAAAGCAATGAGGAAGACGAGGAGAAATTAGAAACCAGAGAGAGAAGAGAAATAGACAGCATGGAGAAAAGACGAGCATTGACTCTTCAAGCGCATGAAGGTTTTGACAAATCAAAAGACACAATCTCTACAGGCAAAGACCCATCAGAAAGCAATAACACAAGAGTTCTTTCCCCTGGCGGGCAGAGTAATTTACAGCTGCCAGCAAACAATAAACCCAAGATATGGTCCTTAGCAGAAACTGCTACTACTCCTGATAGCGCTCAGAAACCCACGTCACCCTCTGCCCCAGTCAGTCACGCATCACCCCAAATACAGCACCCAGCGTTTCTTCCAAGCCATGGACTATACACGTGCCAGATTGGAAAGTTCCACAATTGGACAAATGGTGCTTTCCTCAGCCAGAATTCCCTGTTAAACGTGAGGTCTTTTTTGGGAGTAAATCAACATCACCATCACCATAATCACTCCCTCCATGCACAGCAGCAGCAGTCCTCTGTAGTTGCTTCATCCGTCGTAGCGCTGAACAGTGAGAAGTCTTCAGAGAGTCTCAGTCCTAAACACATAGGTACATTTTCTGTTTTTTATTCTACATAAAGAATTTCAAATATCAAACAAAAATAGATGAAAGCATAATTTACATTAGATGATGTGATGATGGTTGAAATCGCTGTTTTACTTGTACATTAAAATGAAAGTAGAGGCTAAATTCAAGAAAAAATAGAGAAGTAAAACGAAAGAGAAATAAAACAACGATTCGGCTATGGGGCATTCTTCAGGTGTGTAAGAAGGCTGCCACAGCCGAAACCCTGTTATTTTCTTACAGTATATCTGTTTACCTTTTAATGTGGGATTAACCTTGTTTCTTTGCTGATTGCAAACTAACGCACCTACTGTATCCCCTTCAAATCAATTAAACAAAAAAGCGCAAAATTAACTCACTTTAATTCAATGTTTATTTTCAATTTGCCCAGAACTAAAAATCTGTTATATCGAGTGAATTTATTTACTGTTGGGTACATTTCTTTGTATTAAACCTAGAAAAATATTCTGGAGTGTAGTTTTTATTAGTTCTATATGAAGCTCAGCCTGAGCGCAAAACTACAATGTCAGTTTTGCATTGTTCTAATATGTTTCTGCTTATTTATTTTAGAACGGGAAAACGTTCAAAGGACCGAATCTCCCACACAGCCGTTGAAGTCCTCCTTTCAGCCAGTACACGACAGGTAAAAAACTAAGTTTCAAACTGTACTTAATTTACCGTTAAACTTTCCTTTTTACATATTTGCACCCTATAGACACAGGAGGTCTCAAAATTATTTGAAACAAGTTGCAGGATTGAACGTTTATGTATACGCGAGGCACAGCTGTACAGAAAATTATTGTTTGTGTAGTGGTAGCAGATTAACCTCTAAGGCTGTTTCCATCACACATACATCCTTTGCATCATAGCGACTCCTACTGGGATGGGGTGGGTTAAAATTAAATCGTCCAGGATAAAAAAGGACAAAACCCGTTCCAGATTAAAATGTAATGTAGCATTTTTAATGATGCGTATGATCCACGTTTATTTGCCTTCCTTTAACAATGACTATACAGTACCTTGACTCACTAATGTAAGGCCTTGTGGAAGCATAAATGTTTGCAAATCTTGAGATAAAAAGAAAATAAAAATCCCAAGGGACTAGTTTAGTAAAATGTTTATTTCTTTAGGTATAAGAAAGTTTCGGCCTTCTTTCTGGGATTTGCCACATTCAAATGATCCATATTGTTTTTGGGGGTGGTGGTGGCTTATTATAGGAAGAAAAAAATATTTTCACGCTTACAGTGATAAATATGCATTTATTCTGAAAATAAACGGCATAGTTAAAAATTACTTTAGCATTAATAATTGCTTATATTTGTCATCATCATCTGTAGCTGTAATTTAGACTTACAAAATAGAGGTCAAAATGGTATTAGACAAGCTATTACCAACTCAGCATCTGATGATCATTCTTATTCGAATCGATTTCAAAGTTTATTTATTGCGAAAAGTGAACTATTCTTATTATTAAAGAAAGACTCTCGTTGTTTATCTGAAACATTATATCTTGCTCATGAATGGGAACGTTGCGAATGCTTCCTTTTATACTTACGATTGATGTTTTGTTCTTCAGTCCCAGGAATCAACAAGAGGCAACACAGCGAGTCTTAACAGCTCTGTCTTCAGCCTGATCAAGAATTTATTGGTTGAAAAAAAAACGGACTTAAAAAACAGTAAAGGACTCACAAAATGAAGTTTTCTTCCTTCACGTAGCATTCAGCCGAGCAGAAAATGGAATCAATTTGATTAAACTTGTGGATGGATTTTCCTTTTCATCGTATCATTACCACACACTTTGTCTTATACATTTTCCTGAACATTTGGTATTTTGTCTTTTCAGTGTTTGTGTTTTACTTTCTGTAAATACGGTGATCTAAATTTGTAAATAGCGTGTCAACAGAATTTGTCCAAATCATATATTTTGTCTAATAAAATAAATGAAATTATAGAGACATTTAAAGGTTCGTCTTTTTTGCTTTTTACGGCATACATGGAAAGTAAGTTGGAACTTGCATTAAGAAGCTATAAAAAGTCAAAGGGAATAAATCTGTATTTAAAAATAGGCTGTAGTAAATATTGAAATGAAAAGATAAACTAGCATTTTTATTATGATTATTACACATTTAGTGTTACTGTACTGTATTTTAATTATCTCGTGTACGGCATTTTAACATATACTCATCAACGTAATAAACCTTAATGCTAAATAAAACGTAATGTTGTTTACAAAATGGAAGAAAAAGGTTTGTGTTGAAATTAGCAGAACAAAAAAATGCTTACGTTTTTATAAGATTTACAATATTTTAACACCTTCTCTATTCTATCCACCCGAAATAACGCAACATTAAATGCTTATCGTTGAGATCCCTCAATTTAATCAAACGGTTCTTTGTACAAAATAATTGATTTCTCGTGTCTTACATAACACACAGAAAGACACTTTTATTTAAAAAAATACAATTTTAAAAGTGACTGGAGTACCGGGAGTATTCTTTATTTTACCCCCAGTGTTAAATGAATCCACTATAGATGCATTGAGGTGCTAATAAGAGGCCAGATGGTTGTTGGTGACAGAAAATGGACAGAAGCAGCTGGGAAAGCCATTAAGAAATAATGTGGGGACGCCTTATCCAAACAAAATCAAATCCTAGAATTAGCTCTTGTCGGAAACAAACACTAGATTTTCAAATAAAATATTAATAGCGAAAGACGTGATGGGGTACAGTATTGATTAGTTCAGGGCGCTGGGACTTTCCTGAAAAAAGAAACTCATTTTTTTATAACTAAACTCTTTGTATTTTAGGATAAGCTGAAGAACTTAGCTACAAAATACTACATTTACTAATCATTTCGTCATAATAATCATTTTTATCATCATCAGTTTTTTTTTACCCTCACTGCTTTTGTTACCTACTACAATATGCGGTAATAGCACCATTACAATTTTTAAATTGACTTTTTACAGTGTAACTTAAAACTTGCTTATTTTATACATAACGTCAAAGGACTTTGGGATATTAAAACACTCAAGTATTTCCAATACGGTTTAATTTAAATGAGGGAAGGTATTCATTCAGTCTTGCATTTTCATAAATGTGAATAACATATTATTTTATTCACATTTTTATACATTTGTATTAAAAGATGATTATGTTTTCCTATGTAATAGAAGCATACAATTCTGAAGTCAATAGTATTCCTTGAATCAAAGGATTATAGCGACCTCTGCAGGAATCCATATGCACTACTTTACAAAGTACAATCCTTACAGTAGTTTTGTTTCACAAATACAAGTAAATACTGTTAAGCTAAAATGTTTTCTGAAAAATACTCCGCCAGGGGTTTTGGGTTATGTCAGTGCTCTCACGATTTTCCGTGCAAGTTTTTCAGAAAGTTTCACTTCGAAGGAGTCTCAAACCAGAAAGATTAGAGGCACACGGCACAGACTATAGGCAGGCTCGACATAGTTAAGCTATAGACATAAATTTGCAATAATTGTCTAATTCGCAAGAAAAATCAAATAAAAGGGATGTTACACAATCTTTCCCTATATTTAAATATCGGGGTTAATATAGGTCTTATAATTTTAAGGCAAGGTTTACAATTAGTGTACACGTGCACTTCAGCGGCATAAATATGCTATTCATACATTAAACAACTCGTAAAGTTCATGCAACTGGCCAAGTGTAATAATATTTGGGAAATTATACACAGCAGCTTTCTTACAGCAGTTACGTGGACGCTGTTTGAGAAGGATGAAAAGTGACAATGTAAAAAATAATTTACAGTTCTAAGACATCGGGATTAAATAAAAGGCAAAAAATACATTTTATGTCTTAATTTCAAATCCCACAAAATGCTAAACAGATTTACGATCTTTGATATAATTGGGTTATAACAACGGGTAAAACATTCCTATGCTTTTCGTTAAAAAAAAACATTTAAAATAAGGCTGAATTTGACGTAGGCCTACATTTTACCCTCTATAAATGTAATTACTTATAGACTCTCTTTTAATAATCACACGATTGACAAATGTATAAATATAAGTGTTGTGTTGTTATGTTTAGGCTACTACAAGGTTTATCATATACTTCAGATCTGAAATACACATTTCTGCTATTATTTCTATACTATACCAATACGATTGTATCATGTTACACAGTAAAGTGTTTTATGCAGATTTAATTTCAATCGTAATTCGAATTCGAATATATATATAGCTACAGTATGTTGGTATTTGTCCCTTCCATCGCACAAAATAACTTAATATGATGTGGGAATATAATTTGCTCCAATCGTAAAATAATCTTAATTTACACATTTTAAACATTTATTTTTTTCTTTTAGACCTAAAACAAAATTATTCATCTTCTATGCCAATATGATAAAAAGTGAAAAGATACTGTTTAATTTACTGTCAGTATGTAATATTGTGATACTCCAGCAACAATGTCTGAAACATCGTTATGACATTTAGCGGGGAGAGCTAAATATTTGAGATTGTTTTGGTTGAATTTACATTCTTAGCTCAGTTTGGCAGTTATTTTCCTGCTTTCTCGAATACAAACATCACTGACATTCTGGAGGTCTAGTGGAAAATGAAGCCAGGCAGGTAAGCTTCTTACATTGTCCCAACACCTATGCTTATTAAGTTTCTCGGTATGCTCTCATGCACAGATTATTTCCTTAGCACGAGTTAATTACTAAAATGTACATCTATCCGCAGTAAAACTGAAGAATACGTTTTCATTTCGCACTGACACAGATTAATGCAATATGCACCTTGGATCAGTGTATCATCACATTGTATGAATCATACCATATAAAGTTTCAATTGTCCTTGTAAATGACTCTTTGGGAGAAAAAAAAAGTCCCCGTAGCCATGGTTTAACGTTAAACAGACTCATACTTAAACAGCTGATGACTGATTATTAATAAAGAAACAGCCTCTATTAGTTTAAATACGCGGGATTCTGTTAAGAGACAAAAGCGGGTTGTATCCCTGAAATCAATGCAGGTGTACAAATTGCATTTCTTTTCCTCGCTATTTAAAAATCGTATTTTCCCATGAGCATGTGTGTCTCAAATAAAATAACCTCCTGGTGTCACATTTATTTCTTTTGTAGCGAACCAGCGTGAGGTTAGTTGAGGCTTTAGCTGGAGGCCATAATATTGTGATTCCCTAATATATACAAAATTATTCATTTAGCAGTGGATGTACAGTGAATTGTCTAATGAGTAATAAACAGGGTTGGAACCTATAATTAGGCTGTCACTTCTAGCAATATTCCCATATAGCCTGAGGGGCCGATATGGAAAGAAAAAGAAGGAACTGACATAAAGAAAAAAAGCAACCGTGACACAAATGATAGAAAAAGACCTAAAAAGCCGAATTAAATGCAGAAGAGGGGAAACTAAATTCTAGAACAAGAAAAATATTGATGAATCGCTATACAGAGTCTATGTTTATGCACGCTTGCATGCATATACATTTGCGTGCCGTAACTTGAGTATGGTTTTGTATGCACGTGCGAAATTCGCTGCTTTCCTTTGTGAAATACATTTCATCCAATGATTTTTAAATTGTTATATTTTTGATGCCCATTGTCAGAACAATATAGCGTAAAAGAGAATATATATATATATCATATTAACTAATTTAATATGTTTCAAAAGAAATTGCCATAAAACTATAATCGTTCGTGTAAGTAGCCTTTTTCAAGACGCATATTACTTAGGAATGCATACTGTATATCCATACGCGTTCCATATAGTTTAGGATCGTAAATTCGCTATTCTAAGAGCGCTAATTTAAATAAATTGCTTTTACTTATTTAATAGTATCATATTTGTGACATGTTTACATACTGTATAACTAGAATTAGGAAAGATTTTAAGTTTTTAAATCTTAATGTTGAAAACACAACAGCACATGAAAGTAAACGATCTAATGGATTATGCTGTGATTCTTCTCTGTTTATTAAACATAAAGTAGTAATTCGAAACAAGAGATGTCAAATCGAGCACACGAATGTACATTATACAAATATAGGAGTTCTGGTTGATCTGTGGACAGTTAAAAGTTTTGTCAAGGGTTGCTGGCCTCACACAACACAATGTCTTATATGATTAGGCAAGTGGTGATTTTCCAATACTGCTTACAACTCAGTCACAATACTGCAATCCATTTATTTTGTTGGAGAATTGCACCAAAGACTGTGATGGCCACTGAGGTAAGTTTATCACTGTCTCGTGCTGTTGGCAGAGGCAGAACATTCACACACCCTCTGCCCTGCTACACAAATGTTTTTTTTTTCTTTTTTTTAGGCTACTGTGTTACTTTTGAAGTTGCCGCTGGTATCTCTGATTCAGTAATCCATTTATCTAGTTTCGTGAGTGCATTGGCTGAATACCTACACAATAGCCCAGCCCAGCTGGGAACAACAAGTCAGGGAGTCCAGTAGTCACACCCAGGATTGCTTGACATCACGTTCAGCTCACTATTTTGCTACTTCTTGTTTCGAAGCACAATGGTCTGAATAGAATGGATGCCTTGGTCACAGTCCTTTCTTTAAAGGAGCACTGGGTTGCTCTAAAACATACGACAAGAAGCAGCTCAACTGTTATGGAAGAACTGTCATGGCTCTTACAAAAACAGAAACCAAAAACATGGCAAAAAGTGACATGTTGACTTGGTCTAGAACCCTGATGATCAAAATCAGAATAGGAAGAGCAAATGAGGTAAATATTCTGTCTGACACATGGGTTAAATTTACATTTACCACTAAAACAACACATTTCAATAATTCATAATAATTCACATGTTCTCCAAATTCTGGAAACATAAAAGAAAAGAATCATAACCTAACACATAAAACATTGCTACAATAATGTGTAAAATTAATTTACTGTCAACACGAATTCTAAAAATCAGTTATTCATTTGCTTAAGCAATTACACATTTAGTAATTCATCTGTATTACTAAAATATTTGTTTAGCCAAAGTGTTTGCTTTTTAATAATTCTTTTCATTTACCCCTGGTCAAAAAATATTTTTGCTCTACAATTGGTAACACAAAGTGTTTTTTCTCCTTATTTTGTTTGTTTTTACTATGTATCTCACTATCTTTATGTGTAACATTTCACACATTAGAACAATACATTAAATTATCCAAATTCTTTTATAAGTTTTACATCGAGAAATAATCCTAGTTTTCCTAAATAGTAATATTACTTTTCATATATGAGACTATCTCGAGTGCAAAGAAAACAAATGGTATATTACCCAGAAGTTCCTGCATGTTTCAGAGAAACTCCTCAGGTTGTTGCTCCTGTTTTTAAATTGTTACAATAGAATAAATATCATGCTTTCATTAATTAAATCGTGGATATGGGGTTTCTTGGAGATTTGATTGGATGTATATGTATTGTGCCCAGTTTCCTCTCTGTAATTATGACACTCAAAAATCTTTTTAAAATAAGCAAGGTTAAAAAACAATTTTATTAGTAGAAAAGATGTAAGCATTATATATACATTACTGTTGTTTTCATCTCAGGACTAATTTCATAACATAAAATTGTCATAGGTTTTGTAATTTACAGAAATAATTGAAAGAATCACAGTGATTAAAAATAATCAGTTTCATATACAGATAGGTAGACACTTATGGGAACAGATGATTGGAATGCAGACATTTTTTCAAAGTACACTAACACAATGTTATTGAGAGTCCTATTGAATATGAAAGTACTGTATTGTAAAATCATACTGAAAGCTGGTAGCAGATAACAGAGCATTATTTTACCCTCATTATGTGAAGCCATTATCTTGTGCAATGTTTAATAAATAGCAGGCTGCAAGTTGGGAGCCTATCTTCTTTATGAAAATTTCCACTGTGTCAGATAATAAAATCTGACTTTCCTCTTCTTTTTCTGATGTGATGCCATTGTGGTTTTGGGATTATTCCAGTAGGCTGTACAAAGGGAAGTGAAGGCATCTGAAGTGTCATTCTACAGCTGTGGCTGAGTAACAGAATTTCCATTTTGAGGATGCTCCCAGCACATGTGTGCAGCAGAAGGTGGTATCAAATGAGCTGCTCTTCCTCGGTCCTACACGATATTTTTCACCACTGTGGTGAATCTCGCTGAGTCCCATGAACCGATAAAACAACAGCCCCTGTTGGAGTTTATTAATATTTGCAGAGGATTTGGAAGGTCGAGGCTAAATGTCAGCAGATGCCTGGGCAGTGCAATAGGGAATAATTATATAAAAAACCCTTTTCCCAGCAGTTCAGCTGCTTAACATCTTTATTAATCTTAGGCAAGCACTGCACTAAGATTCAGCTCTTTTTAGTCAAAGCAAAGATGCAAGGATTTTTTTCATTATCATTTAAGTTACCAGTTATCTGTATTGGAAAGTATGTGTGCTTTGACATATTTTGACATTTTATTGGCCTGCTCTCCAGCAGATGTTAGTTACCTTAAGGGCTGTAGTGTGTGAATTATCACCAAACCGTTGGAATCTGCACTTGCTTGGATATGTCACCCTGACCAAATAAAAGATTTAGCAACTGATTTCAGAATATTACTTTTAGCTAAACACAAACTACACTCAAATATAAAATTTTGCTTCTCTAATATATTTGTCTTTATTTAAATGTTTTTGTGGATAGAGCATTTACAGTTTATTTATGCATTCTGAAAACTGATAAGCTTGAAGCTTCTACATTAACAATCACTAGTTACAACTATTTCAATTAGATACATTTTCCACCTGCCTAACTGCATAGATGAAATGAACATATTTTGCTATTTATATTGAATGTTTTTTCTGTGATTCTCTTGCTGGCAGTTTGTCACCAAGTCAAATCCTTTTTTATTAACATTTAAAACAGTAACAGATTGAAATACTGCTTAAGACATGAATAGCAATCCAAAGAAAATAGAAGTACTTAATTTATTTATCATTCTTGGTCATTCTTGTATGAAATTACATTTTTATACAATTCTGTAAAGCAGACAATAGTTCAATATGTGTTACAAAAATGACAGAATGACTTGCTAGAAAATTAAATGCTTTGTGCTTAAATTACTAATGTGTATATGCCACATTCCAAAATAAATAAATTTTTTACTGTATTATGGGCTATTATTTCTCTATACAAAATGACTAAAATACATTGGTCATTGAACAAAATTAATCAACATGTTTTCATAAACAATAGGTTTAAACATAGAATCTATTTTTCTTGTTTTACTGTATGCCTTCATGTCTTCCTTTTATGAGGTGCCTTTTTTGCAGCCAATCAAAATAATGGACAAAGCTATATTAAAAGTATCACCGACTAGCATCTAGCTGAAGAACATAGTGAGCCTGAGAACCACTATATTCCTATCTTAAGACAGAAGCTTAAAAGACTGAAAATGAGAGCTGTACAAAACTTAATTTAAATTATTTTACCTGACAAAACATTAATGTATGCTTTGTACGCTGTATTTTATGACTGTAATTGCAACTGCACACATGATAGAATAAATGGTAGATAATGCTTGCAAAAAATAAAATATCCCAGTAAAAAAAAAAAAATAGAATGCTGTTTTCAGTGGAAACATTCAAAGTATTTAAGTATACATATAGTACAATTTGCTAGTAATGGCACTTCTTAATAATAAAGTTGCAGCATAAAAACACGCTTTACATTAAAATCATGAATATGGGATGTGGACAGATTATCCAATGATTATACTACCAGCGGTACAGGCTGATTTTAAGATGAACTGTTGTATTCATCTTGACATTGCTCAACAGATTAGCAAGAAAGAGTATAATATGTTACTTTGAGTTTTAGACACTTTGTATTTCATATATACCATTCAAACAAAATGCAAATTAGAGAGTTTATAAACTGGCTTGTTGTGCCACATTGTAATGATTTATCAGTATTGACCTTTTATGTCCCTAAGAGGTCACCATGATTGCTAATAAACTCAAATGGCCTAATTTATGTCTTGATTATTACAGATTAAGTATTTCAATGTAGCCTTAATTGTCAAATTGTATCTTAAAAAATTCTGTTTTCCAATCCACTACATTAATATCAAAATGCATAATGTCAGTACTGAGGTCTCATCAATATATTAAAATATTTCATTAGTATAATGCACTAGTAGGGCCATTTTTAGAATAGCGTGTACAATTGTGGTCACCACATTATAGAAAATATAGTTTTACTCTAGACTCTGTCCAAAGAAATATAACCAGATGCATTCCAGGACTTGGAATATCCAACGCTGACATAACTGCACCTTTTTTTCTGTCTTGAACAGAGAAGGCTACAATGGTACCTGATGCCAATATTCACAATCCTCAAAGGCATTGACAAAGTCAATGCAGTGGAGTTTGATAGAATCAGCAGTGGAACACAAACCAGAGGACACAAATGAAAACTATGTAGAACAGCACTTAAAACTGAGAACAGGAGACACTTCTTTATGCCAAGTGTAGGAGTATGAAACAAGCTATCGAGCAGCGTTGTTGAAGCCAACACCTTGGCTTCCTTCACAAAACAGCTGGGTGCGATCCTTGGATCAAGTAGATACAAATTACCAAACAAGCTAGACGAGATGAATGGCCTCCTCTCATCCATTCGTATGCTCTTATATTCAAGGAAAAAGTTTTTATTCATGTAATGTATGTCACAATAATCCAAAACTAACGAGAAGTAATGACCTGAAATGTATTTTAGAACATTATCCTGACACCTATAATCACCTGGGCTACTTTGACAATAATTATTTTTATGATGTCTTTATAAAATTAATTTGACAGAAGATTATTTTTTAATTTGGCATAATAAATTATTTAATTTATACCATATTGGTAACCAATTTGTAACAAAGATTGTATAATTTTTCCTCTGAACCACACCTTCCACTTTGCATTCATACTGTGAGATCCATATTGATTACAACAAAGTTAGATCACAGATATTCAAAGAGTGATGCGATTCTTCCTGACACAAAGTCCAGGTCTCAGGAACCTCTGCTGCGTGGTAGAGAACCCCATCCAGTCTCAGTGATATTGGGACAATTTTGTACTGAACATAATTGTCTAGAAACTAGAAACTGGAGGTTATTGAATAACAGGGCCCAAGATGCACTCCAAGTATACAGTATTTGACATTCCATGGTTTAGAACTCAGAGTGTCTCTACAAATGTCTGACAACTGACCACATTTCATGTCATAACCTTCAGTAATAATGTCCTCAAAACATGTCTTCCACCAGCTACTCCTTTCAAGCAAATATTAAAGGCTGTGATGCAGATATCATCAGTTTGAGCCTGTGTCATGTCACTTCCCAGCTGTGACCTAGATTCCCCAAGCAGAAGTACACAATTTGCAGTTGGGATTAGTTGACCATCACTGGCTCTGCTGTGGGTGAAACAGTGACCCCTGTGACTTCCCAGGCACCTGCAGGCTGTTTGTTATGTCCGTGAGATGTGATGCCTATCCAATCATTGTTAACTCTCCTATCAGGTGCTGTGGGACTTACATAGTCTGAACAAATGAATGGATTGAGGAGTGTGCAGCTGAAAGAAACATGTCTCCCCTCCCTCATTCTCCCCATGCGGTACAGTAATCATTGCTGTGAACATAGAGATAAAGAAACAATCCCTAATTAGAGAGGATTTTATATAATGCACAATTACTGAATGGGTCAAAATAAAATGAACAATAGATTTTAAAAATATTTAAAAAAAGACAGAAGACTAATATCACTATACTGCAAAAACTGTAAAATACTCTGAATAACTGTTTTTAATTTAACATTTAATCTAATTAGATTTTAGTGTTTGCTACACTTGAAACCAAATTATAAAATGGGTTTTGTCAAGAGACATTATTGGCTTAATCCTACATTTTGTTCTGTAATACAGCATATGCATGATTTAGACTTACAGTATAAGGGAAGAATTCATACATTTTAAAAGACTAAACATTTGTGGTAACTAGTTAAATATATTGTCTTAAAACATTATGTAATATAAAAAATATACTCTTGTACATTAAAAGTATTTATATTTATGAACACTTAAAGTATACAGTAGTTCCTTATTTTTAGTAAGTTGTCAAAAACACAACTATAACATACACATTAAACATCTTTGCAACATTTGTTTTTTTTTTGCTTACTAGAAGAAAGAATAAACTTGTGATTGTGCCAGCAGCAATCTGTATCAGTTTGTGAATTTAGCAAAAAGTTGTTTATCAAAATATTGTGATTGTCAGAACTTGTGATCATGTCTGTTACATTAACTCCATATGGTTATTTAAATAGTGTTTAATGTACATCATGAGTGACGATTGATCTGAATACCAATGAGTGGTTTTGTGCCTGTTCATGGAAAAGTGAACCCTAACCTTTAAATAAGCAATATTTTTATTCAAGAACAGTTCTTGAAACAGTTCAACACCATGTACATTAAATTAAGTATTAAATAATATAGACATACATTCATTTTCACTCTCAAGATTTGATGAATTTCTTAAGTAAAATTAGCAATAATTGTTGCTGTGGAGTTCAAAGAAATGTATAGGCTATTCCTATGTTTATCACTTTACCATACATTGTGCACAAATGATATGTCTTAGAAATCACAATTATGACCTCCTGATATAGACTGAAATTTAAATTTAATTTTAGATTTGGTTTTGCATTATTCTTACAAAAGCCAAAGAGGAAAAAACGTTAAAGAAACTGCGTGAAGAACTCTATATTTTTTATACAAAGCGTTTCCAGTATTGAGACCATCTGAAAAATCCAGGAACAAAGCATACTTCTGTGGCTAATCATGTTCACATCAAAGTTTAAAATACATATTCCAATCTCAAGGAAATGCCATCACGTCTTGCTATAATCTGGAAGACACATCTGCCACCAATATTGTCCAGCATGTGGTCAGCTCCATCTTCTGCTTTCATCTCTTCACCAAAAGCAGAAATTCAGTCATTTTGTTTGACACATATTGCCAGGTTCAGTTCAGCCATGAAGCTAGACAGGAACTATGCATGTCTTAGGAGTAAACCTATTAATATCTAATATGTAAGTCTTTAAATGGCCATTGACAGTAGTCTTTGTATATAAATACTGAATTATAAGACAATTAAAAGAACACTAAAATACAGCTTATAATACTGTTTTTCCTAAGTTTATAAATTTCCACTATACTATATATACATGGAGTATATACAGTACTATATAAACAGAAGATGAATACTTCTACTCAACTGCAGAAAATAAACATATTTAGAGAATAAATATGAGCTCCATCTTTGCAAATTATTTGTTCTGCATTTTAATGTGATGATCTTCCTTTGCTATTTTAGTTTTCTGGGCTTTGTGCAGCAAGAAATTAAAATAGGCTGACAATAAGATAATGATATTAACACAGATATCAGTATACAGACACCACATTGAAATTACCTTTGTATGAGAGAACTGGATTTGCAAATAAGGGTATTGTTCCATGTGATTTTTTTTCTTATAAAGTATACAGTATGTTGCCCATGAATATATTGCTCTTTAAAAGCAGTATAATCATTTTTAACATGTTTAAGCTTTAATAAGCATGTCAATCCAGGCACAGCTTGCATGTACCTCCTTTCCAGAGATTTGCGCCAGAAGTCAGTAGGCCACTGCAATGAAATCTGTGTACAGTGCCTTGCCTTTTAACTAAGATTAGTACAGTTCTGATGTGCCGCATCCTTTAAAATATGTATCAAAGCTGTTGAAATGCCAGCAGTTGGTATGTGGTAAGCAGGGGACCAGAGGATTGGACGATGAAGTTATCCTAACTTCCAAGTACCCAGCAGGCTACTTCAGCCTGTTGTTTGCTGGCCCATCATTGCAATCAGTAGTTCCTAACACAAAAAAAGGAGAAAAAATGTTATCTGCAGTTTCTGTGCAAGGTCTGGCACATTGATTGCTTGCTCTCCATCTCTTCTCAGGAAACACTGCTGAGAAAATCTTTATGAACTCCTGGGTCTATCGGCACTGGTTAAAAACCTGCCAGTTTAACAGCTGCGTAGAGCTCGGCCCTGGATAAAACACTTGGAAGTGTATAAGTTACACCATAGGGTGAGACTTTATGAGGCTTCCTGAGTGGAAGCTGCTGCTGAGGGTGTTAATTGGCAGCTTCTGATGTGTGATATACCTGCCCTTCATAATCCAGCACAGACATCTTAAGAAGAAAAAAAGGTTTGTACAGAACCAGCCTCTGGAATCACTTGATGGCTGACCTTTATGACTTTGTAAAAAAAGCCTTTCCAATCGCCTATCAATTCAAATGGAAGCAGGCACAACCAGCTTCTTTTCCCCAAGAGGCTACATAACATAGCCGAAAGCTTACCTCTATAGTCTGTGATTTAGTGACCTGTCCACATTGCTCCCTGGCAAAAAGCAAACAAAGGCAGCAGTTAAGTAACCTTGAAGTTTGCTTTTGTTCCTGAAAGTATAAAGAGTTATTGGAAATACACTGTGATGTCACAATTGAATTGTACGAATGCCAAATATAGCACTACATAAAAAAAGAGGGAAATGTCAGTAAAATGAGAAATACTTCTAGGTTAATTTAAACTAAGTACATAAATATTAGGAACCTGTTCACTTTTACATTCAAGTCTTTATTCCTCATTGCAAAAAAATGTGAAAGACAGAACCTAGTAAGATTATCAAACTAATTAATAACAGTAAAAATATTTACTAGTGTGCCATTCCAAATATCTATAATAAATGTCTAAGAAATCTTCAGTAGTTAAGTTCTTTTAGAACAATTTATTTTAGGATTTAACAGTTGGGCAGCTCTGCGAAGTATTATTTCTTTATTTATTTCCTTCTTTCTCTGTGCAGTTCCTCAGATGATCCTACACCTCACCCTTATAAAGCAGATGACCGATTACTCCTACAATGATCCAGCTGTTACAGATTATAACAAAGGAGATGAATGTACACAAGTCACCATATAATAATTAGTCAAATAAAACAAGTCAGAGGATACTAATTAATCAATTAAGCCAAGATAGCAGCTAGATAAATGTAATAGTTTGAACATATACATACATGTGGCAATTAATACAACACAAACATCAAAGAATGTGTATTTATCTTTCTGACCAATCCACATGTTCCACAGTACTCCTCTGCAGTATAACAATCTCCTGGACAACTTTAAAGGAAGACATACTTTATTAGATTAGATAAAAAGAAGGTTTGAAATGTTGTAAAATGCTTTTACTTACAATTTATTTCTATATAGTGACAAAATTATTCAAAAAATAATGTTGAGCTGTATCCATATCCCATAACTGAGGTAAATAAGTCTACATTTGCTCATTTTATTCTTAACTGAATAAATTGGCTATTGAGTTAAAATGTTTATTGTTATTCATAAGAAAGTAAAGGCTGTACTAAAAGGCAATTTACAGAAGCAATCTTTAGTGATGGACTTGCCAAATATACTTGAAGGTAAGACCACGCATCTTTCAGCAGGTTTCAAGAGTTTCCTTTGTTTTCTTTTGTTTTTATTTGAACCATTTATACAGTATATTGGGCAATTGGAAAACATGACAAGTATTTGCACTTTCAGTGATTTCAGTAGTTTGGTTCTAATGATGGAACAAGCTGTAAAATATAAAAGAATAGTATATTTCATATTTTGGTTTTAATTTACCTGGATGGAAAAATGACAGTGTTGGTTGAAGATTAGCACTGTCATATCCCCCCAAAAATATTCCCCAAAACACTGCTACAGATTTTGAACACTGAGCTAAGAGTGAATCAGTCCGGTTGCAGTTTCATAAGAACCGAGCAGAACATGAATATAGCATGGAATGAAGGAGAAGTGCATATGATGTTTGATTGAGTTAATTTGGATGTACAATAGAGAAGAAGCACATATTAGTAATATTTTGCATATGATGCAGGCTTGAGCTTGTTTGAGTGGATTTGGAAATGTCGTGTTTTGGAGGTGAATGAGAAACATGTGTGATGCAGGTGACAGAATGCAAGACAGAGAACAGGTGGCAGCTAGCAACAATATTTGCAGCAGCTAGTTTCAGACTGGACTGTGGTGGGCAGTGGACGATGCTGTAGCAACCCTAAAGAATAGCCTGACACAGTAGGAAAAAAGATACTGTTTGCTGAACTTTGCTAGATGGAATGAATGAGAACATTTTTGTGGTGGAATGCCTAAAAGAATAAGCTTATCATGTGACTGGAAGCTTTGGGAGTGGGAGGAGTTGAGGGCTAACACCACATCAGTTGGAAACCAACGGAGGTGTGGGGCTAAAGAAGAGGAGGGACCATTGATGTAGTAACCTGGGGCATGGAACTAGGGATGGCGTGATTTGTACACAGTGAGGTGTGAATTTGATGCAGACTGGTGCTATGTACTTGCACCTGCAATAAAGAGTGGGAGTTTGCAGCTGGGGGCTTCTGCAAGAACAAAAAAAAGGAATCGGGAGCCAGCCAAAAAGAAGGTGGGGACATAAGTGGGCTGGATGCTCGACCAGAAAAATAATGAAATATCAGTTAAGGAGGAAAAGGGTAGTTAGTAGGATTAGGAGGAGATAGAACATAAAAGAAAAAGGAGACAAAACTGCCCAGTTGTTAGGCATTTCTGGAAACTTTTACAACATAAAGAAAAATGTATACTGCATGGCAGTAGCAGAGTTGTTTGGTATTGTTGGAGGGCTGTGGCTAAAGTGGTGAGAAAGTGACTCTGGTCGTGGCTTGTGGGAGACAAATGCAATGAAATTAAGATTCCATCCATACCAAGTGCAAACTGGGTCTATCTGGGATGAAATGCAAAGTCCTAGAAAAGATGACATAGCACAGTGCTACTGTATGTTCAGCCAAGAATTTTACCATTAATTGTGCAACACTATCCTATTTGATTATTATATTCTGAGAGACAGTGAAACAATTCTAGAACATTTTAGAATTCATCATCCTTTTTAGCACTCTTTGAAAAAAGTATGAATGATAAACAAATGTGACAAAGCATGTGTGAGAAGAAATATTTGCAGGAATTTTCAAGAGCCAAGTTGAATGAATGCATCCATGAAAGGAACAAGTTTCACCACTTTTTAATCTCACTGAAGTGATGACATACCACAGAGCAAGGTAATTTGCTATCAGGAATGTCACAGCATGAAGTTATTAGGGGATACAAGATCCATCCACTCTCAATCACTAGACTCCAGCAGCACTATCAGGTGACAGGAAACATGATCAACCCAGGCGATGGCTTCTTGTGATGACATAATAACAGGATCATCACATTCTGACCAACCAACCAAAGTATTACTCTTTACAGCTAGAGAGTCCAAGAATACTGAGAATAACAAATGTGTCATAATCCTGAATACAGCAATAAGGACTCTGTAATGTTAAGACTAATCTTCACAAGGTAACAAGTGTTTTGTTTGAATCAGCATGGATGGCAATCCCTGGTTCTCTGTCTTACTTGCACACAATTAAAGAAAAATCACAACAAATTCATTGTTACATATAAATGACATTTTTCCTGTGTGAAGTGCGTAGTTAGTACCCTCATACCTGCATAGGTACCCGCATAGGGTCCTAACTACGCACTTCAAATATATATATATATTACAACTAACATATTTTTTCTTTATCATTGAATCCAATGAATATAACAAAAGATTGAAAATAAATGAAAAGGGAGTCTTCACATTTATCATGACGTAAGAGAGATGAGAAATTCCTTTAAGTATGTACCTCTCCTCTCTAAACGTTGGGACAGACTGCATGGCCATTAGGTTAAAAAGAGTACAGACTAATAACAGATGAAAGCTTAATGAATTACAATAAAGCTATACTTTGTAACAATACACATACCTTAAATATTGAACACAAATGTTAAAATAATCACAATTACAATTATAATTAAAAAGTATATACATTAAAATGAGAAAACATACTGTAATATTAGGGTATCTGTGTCAACATGTAAAGATGTACATTTGGAGCTCAGGTTGATCCATAGCCCAAACACACTGTGTAGAATCAGGGATGACATCAGCCAGTTGTCAGAAGAGATTCCCTAAGCAGAAGTGCAAACCTAGTTGAGCACTTTAAGGGTTGGGTAAATTCAGATTGACAGGGTGTTCCTAGTTTATGTGATCTTGTGGAGTTATCTGCTAGCAAAAACCTAATGTTGGCACAAAAGCCTACATTTTAGAAGCTAGCCATTGTTACAGCAAAATCAAGAATCATGGGTAAACTTGACTTGATATTGAAATTCTGTAAAAACTGTAAAGACAGTTATAAAAATGAGAGGAGAACATTCTGTTTACACGCAAATGGATTTCTTCATGATCAACAGTAAAACTTGATCCAGAGGAGAGAAGAAGAAACTAAGGGGAAGTGCAGTAAGTCAGGAACAAGCTACCCAGCCATGGGTTTGAAGTTGATACCTTGGTTTCCTAAGAAAAATGTCTAGATGGGATTCCTGGGATTCATCACCTGTCAGCAGCCAAACTAACAAGATGGACTTTACTTATTTTTTTCATATAAGGACTAACATTATTAAATCTTTATTTAAAAAATCACTAAATTTCCTTTTATCACATTGGTATTCACAAATATAATGGAATATTTATTATATTTAATATTTATTCCTCCTGCACGCATTTAGAAAACACATTTGGAAAAAGAATGTATGCTGTTGTAGAATTCTTTGTACAGCCTAACAAAGTCCAACACTTATCTCATGTGTGAAACAGAGAAAAAAAAGAGAATATGCTTACCATGAGGTAGCCAGATGTGACCCTGAAAACCACAGTCTACAAAAAAAGACAAATACAATCCAGCACCTTCTCCATGTCTCCCATATCCCCACAAAACACTTGTAAATATTTGTAATACAAAAGCCCCTGTAGAGATGTTTATCAGAATTGACTACTGAGAAGAAAATGAAAACATCTACAGATACATGCAATCAACAGACACAACATGATTAGCACGGACATATTTTATATATTATATCTTAATTAATCACAAAAATAGTAATCTTGGCTTAAATCAGTGTAATCACTTTTTCATAGAAGAAGTAAGAAGTTTTATTTTTAGATAAAAACATGGTTTATTCCTGGGCTGAAACACTTTTTTAATTTTATATACAGTACACCCACATCTGTATACAGTGCCTTGCAAAAGTATTCACCACCCTGCAATGTTTCCACATTTTGTTGATGTCTAAATTTGTACTCATGACACTTTCAAATGTTGTATTTTATTTATATTTTACTTTATATTTAGAATATAAATATACAAAGCCTATTCCAAACTGATAAAGCTAAAAGTTGCTGATAGTATGTAAATACATTATATTTTAAAAGAAAATTAGAATACATATTTAACCCTTTTGCTTTGGCAATCCTAAATCATTTCAGATGAAACAGAACAGTTTGAAATGTCTAAAAATTAGTGTAACAGTTTGTCAGTATGGGTATAAAAGTAATTTAATCTAAAATTCAGAGTAAATACATCTGTCTCTGAAAGGTACTGTACCTTGGATACACTGACTTTCAAGATACAACAGGCTGGCCTTCCGAACTGAGCAACCAGGCAAACAGGGAACTGGTTAGGGATGCTGCTGTGAAGCCAGCAGTAACTTTGAAAGACAAAGTCTATGTCTTAGATGAAACTACAAAGTTCTATATCTAAGATGGGTCTCACAGTTCAAACATCAACAGTATCTTGGTCCCTACACAAAGCTTGGCTGTATGAGCCAGTGGTAAGAAAGGAGCTAGTACTGAAAAAGACTCATGTTAAATCTCATAAGAGATGCACTGCAAACATGTGGCAGAAGGTTTTGTGGTTAGACAGGACAGAAATTGAACATTTTGGTCTAAATGCAATGCGCTACATCTGGGGCAAGCCAAACAAAGCACATCAACCAGTCATCACCATCCCAACTGTCAAGCATGGTAGTGGCAGCAAAATGTTAAGGGGATGCTTATTATCAGCAGGTGCAGGGAAACGTGTCAGGAATGAGTTAAGAAGATGCAAAGTACAGGCAAATCCTAGTGCAAAACCTCCATGTGTTACCCAAGAATCTAAATGTGGTTAAACAATTCACACTTCAGCAGAATAATAACCTTTAGCACAAAACCAAAGCTGAATTATAGTGGCCTGACTAGAGGAGCGTGAATGTTCTTCAGTTGCCCAGTAAAATACTGACTTGAATCCAATAGAAAGTTTATGGCCAGCCTTCACAATTGCAGTCATCATCTATCTCCAATGAAATGATCAGAATTAAAGTAATTTTGCTAGGACGGGTGG